CTTTCATTACCAGACATTTCGCGATACATACCTTAAAAACAATCAATGCCTTGAAAATTAAGAAAAATAGACTCGGTTCATTACCCTCAAAGATCTGAGCCTGAAACCAGATATATAAGCCAAGAATATAAAGAAGGATCTGTTGATCGTTTAACAAATATCAAATACCAGCATATTATACAAAGCAAAAATAGTGCAAATATTTTCGAGGGGAGAGAGAGAGAAGACAAACCATGACTGTATCACTCTTTGTGGAATCGGCAAGATCAATCATATGGGACATTGCATCGGCCCTGTCCTCCTGCAATGCGAAATATTTTCTTGGTAAGTAGGCATATTTTTAAGCATCATTCTTTTAGAAACCGTTTAGCCTTACCGCAACACTTTGACGACCAAGCCAAGTATAGAATAAGTTCTCCTCCCTTCCATTATTATGAAAAGTATACTGGATAACGTAGCAATCCCCGTTGTATAGTTTTGATTGCTCCACAGAAGGAATAAGAGTTCTATCCTCACAACTTATCCGCCAAACCTTATATTATAACCATAAAAAGTAAAAAAAAATTGATCAAACAAAAGTTATCATTTCAAGATACAGCAAGTCTTCTTAGCAAATACCTTTAGTTTTCCGCTTAAATCAATAACTTGGTGGTCATCTTCATCGGCATCAGGAAGCTCCTTCACTTCATAACCCTGGTGCTTAAATATCGCTGCAAAAATATTAACAAAAAATTGAATCACCCCTTCAAAAGCAAATCCATAGGTTTAAGCCCTAAACCTGAGGGCCCCTCACCCCCATGCCCTGGGGATTGTGAGAGGAAGTAAATCGCGAGATGTGGCTCAGTGACACCCACACTCAACCTTTCGACCACTGAGCTATGCCCCGGGGGCAATTACTACTCTATACTCTATATTATATTACATTCCTATTTCCATATCAACAAATACAAACCTGCTACTTTTTCTCGACCTTCTTCGTATAACTTCGGCTGTACAAATTGAGGCCAATCCCTAAAGTTTGATCTGAACAAAGCAGTTTCTGTTCCCTCGGTTAAGAAGGTTAAATGGGTACAATCCGATCTGCCCTGAGATCTGAGGATCTCCTGGAAAAAAAAAAAAAAAAAAACATATTTGGGCATGTGATAACCAATTCATTCAAATTGACAATTCATTCAAGAGAGATGTGAATAGTTATATAAATCTTACTTCTGCAGCAGAAATTGAAGTTTTCCGCTCCGTAACTGATGTGCGTTTTCCCATCCAAAGGAAAAGTTCGGTATTACAGTCCAGCATGTAGCACTTATTAGAATCGAGCATCTCCTTGTTTAGAGCACCGGATCCAATCTCGCATAGCTTTCCCTGAGTGTTTATCCTGCCAATTAGAAAGTTCGTAAAATTTAAATCCAAATTTGACTGATTGTAAGATTTCAGTTTATTTTGTTTCCTCTAATCGAAACCTGTTAAATTTGGAACGCCATAAAAAACCAATATCCATAACCGGGTGAACTCAAAGTGGACCGAACAGGCACTAAGATTGGGCAACCACACTAAAAGATTGAATCTAACCAATTAGCTAGTCTAACCATAGCCTTATAAATCTATATATTCTCTCCTCCGTGATTGTAGAGTGTAGATAGTACTCACCAGAATAGTTTCAGCAGTGGATTCTCGGTTGCTTCTTCGACACCAGAGGGTAAGCCCTTCGGGATGGGGGCATAACCCCCAAATAAGCTCCAGAATTCCCCGACATCAGGATCACCAACAAATTTCCCGTCATCTACATCAATTAAAAGCAATTATAATTACAATCCGAAATCTATTGATACATATCATAAGATGAAGGAAATTATACGAATAATCAAACTATGCCCGACCTATAGTTGCAATGTCGCAGTTTCCATTATGCTTGTTCTCTCTAATATATTGAACAACCTCCAAAGCTTTTGCCCTTTCTTGAATGCTCGAGTTACACCCACTGAAAATGAATATCTTCGATGCAGTGTCGAGTATAAATACATCTTCGTGGTTCAAGGATGCCCGAGTAAAAGGAACCTATCATCCAGAAAAATTTACAGTTACCATTTAGGCCATTAAACTCATTGAGGTTAAATTACGAAACAAATCTTACTTCTTTAACATGAACAACGTGATCTCCCTTGCACGTTAACATGCTGATCGGGTATTCCTTGCTCTTTTCATTTGCTTGGCCTCTCGAAAACGTGCCTTCAATCGGGATAATACAAGGCTTAAAATACGACAAGAACTTCTCGGTTTCTTCCCCTTGAACTTCTCGATATTGTACAGTGTAGGACCCGAGAGCTGCATCGAGCTCAAGAGCTTTGTCTGACACCAACTTCGAATCTACCTGTATTTTTGCCACTGCCTTTTTCAGTATTGGTTTGACTCGAAACGTAAATCACGGAGACAAAGAGGATCGCTAGAAACCTGTTTAGCATTAGTTCCGATCCAATAGTGTATATCGTGCTGACAGATTCCAGTTTTAAGCAGCACCGTCTGAGCAAGAAAAGAAACAGTATCAGGTAAACCAAGAAACGATGGGAATCCCCGAACAATAATATATACATATCTATTTTTGTTTTGAAACTTACATGTAAAACTAGGTAAGTGCTTCCAGAATAGAATTTCCCATGGAATGATTTCGGGACTGGGACTAATTGAAGATTCTCTACGCCCCAGATATCCAAACCACTTCATTTAGTAAACAGTTAAGGATAACTCATTGAACATCAATGCAATTAAGCCAATCAGATCAGAAATGAACATAATCCCCACTTAAAACGGGATAGATTCTGCTATCCAAACAAAAACAAAACAAAAGTGAACAAGAAATATTGACGAGGATACGGTTTGGCTCCTGCTCCCTGAAACGCTGGATCCACGTCTTTACCAAACAGTGCCATTGCCTTTCAATTTTCAAACATCTGATTCTCAACAATCCATTACAGAATAACTTGAAATCAGCCTGCAGATTAACCATTGTTCATTTAACTATCATCACAGAGAACAAAATGCCACATTCCACACTAAACCCCCAAAACCCTTTGGGGTCAAACCTCTAAAATACACACCCATCATGCTCAGAACCACATATCAAATCAGAAATGCTGATAAAAGCTAAACCCAAACTGTATAACATAACAAAGATTCAAACTTTAGCCGCCCAGATTCTTCTTACGCAGAGTTCAGACCAGCAAAGAAACATTCTATCGATTCTAGCAAGCTTTTACAACAAAACAATACTGTACATAACATTGTGTATTAAAGGAACAACACAAAGAAAATGAAGACTATTACTGAGTACTTCTTACCAGATAATTCTTACAAAACTCCTGTCAAAATCAGGCTTTGATGATTTTGGGGGTCAAGAAAGAAACAAAAGAAAGCCTGCTTGGGTTGAATAGTTCAAGAAGACAGAGAAAGTGAACAAAAAGCGGGATATGCGCTATGAGGCAATTATGCTGCTTTCCTTTGACAAATGAAAGCAAATGTTTATTATTTCAAAAAAAAAAAAAAAAACAGACAAACATAATTAAGGCAGTGCTAATTGCTGAATGCTGATCCTAAACTCTGACTGACTGTCTGTCTGTGCTGTAATTATGGTTTCTTTACAGTTGGTTGCTCTATCATAGTAGAGTAACATTTACGGTAATTACAATCACGGTAGAATTGTCATTACCAATTAATATGTTGCCCAATACAGAAAATTGTAGGCCCTTGTAGCACACAGCTCAGCGATGGGCCATATATAGTTGCTTTATTTTATGACATTGATGACTTGATGATCTGTTGAAATAAAGGAAAGAAATGTCGTGCTCATCATTATTCACCAAATTCCCTCCTTACAATTACTTTCTTATTTGCCTACACGGGCTTTGCTCAATTCAGTATTTAAAAAAAAGAGACTAAAGGTTTAATTTGATAACGAGAATGTAGAAATTATATTTAAAGTGAGCATTTGACATATCTGTTAAGTCATTGAGTCAATTTACATCCTCTCAAATGTTCGATCGAATCTTTGGGGTTGGAGATTCAATCTTTTGGAAGAAAAACAATTACTTCCTATTTCATTAAAAGTTTTAATTTCCAAACTTAAAAGATGGGGTTAGCAAAACAAACATTATAAATTTATTTTAAATTAAGTTAATCAGATGAACTTTGTCTCATTAATCTTTTATACTTTGTGTGTGTATATATGCGAGATACATAAATACCATTACACTTTTATACAAATAAGAAGAGTTAAAATAACTATTTTTTTTTTTGAAAAATAACTATTATTTTAAATTAGTATGTTTTTTTATTTTTAGTCATTTTAATATGAAATTCTACTAAATTTTGTCACATTTTTGTTGCATGACTTGTAAAGTTACAAAATTTATGCATAAATGTCTATTTACATGACATAAATTTTGATGGATTCAAATTAGGTGCATGGTTTAATGTCTAATAAATACTTGATTTGGAGATTGCTAATCAATATGATCTAAACCCAATAGCTCTGATTTGTAAATAAGATAATGATTATGGCCTTGTTTGGTGGTTAATGGCGGATTCACCATTTTTGGTCAAATCATCAAAAAAGTTGTTTGGTTAAACAGCGGTTTGCTCCAAACGCTGCAAAGTGCAGCGTTTGCAATTGGCGTTTTGGGGAAAATTTAATTTTTCCCAAAACTCCCCTGCTTATTAAAAAACAAAAAAATAATAACTTAATAAGGAGTAACGGCTCCTCAACGTCAATTGTTATGCCGTGCAACCGTGTGTACCGTTCTTGGTACACACGGTTGAAAACGGCACCGTATAGTGCCAGGGAAGTAACGGTGCCGTTAGTGGCACCGTTTCACTCATCCCGATATTTAAAAAAAAAAATATTATTATTATTGCCATAAAACGCCACTATACTCCTTTTTCCGCCATTTCCAACGTTTCGTCTCTAACAAGCTACACACTTCCTTCGCACTGTAGCAGTCTTCATCTCTCTCTCTGTCTACTCGGAGTCGCGATTTTCGTCGTCTTCATCTCATTGTCGCCGGAGCGTGTTTTGTTCACCATTGTTGCCATTTTCGCCATTTTCATTCTAGCATTGTCGCCTTTTATCATCGCATTCTCCATCAGGTATAATGTATTTTTGTGTTTTTTGACTGTTAACATTCATATTCGCTGTATATTCTTGTTATTTTTGACTAGGGTTTTGCAACACGATTTTGCATTTTTCTCAAACAGATCAATACTCTGTTTTTTTTCTGTTTGTTTGATTGTTTTTTGGTGTTTTCTGAAATGTTTGTGGACAAATAGTTGTGATATTGTGGATATATAGCTTTATACTTGTGGTTTTATAGTTTAATACTTATGCATGTTCGAAAATATCATTCCTGTCTTCAATTAGTGTGTTTCTGAAATGTTTGTGGACAAATAATTGTGATATTGTGGATATATAGCTTTATAATTGTGGTTTTATAGTTTAATACTTATGCATGTCTGAAAATATCATTCCTCTCTTCAATTATTGTGTTTCTGAAATGTTTGTGGACAAATAGTTGTGATATTGTGGATATATAGCTTTATAATTGTGGTTTTATAGTTTAATACTTATGCATGTATGAAAATATCATTCCTGTCTTCAATTAGTGTGTTTTCTGAAATGTTTGTGGACAAATAGTTGTGATATTGTGGATATATAGCTTTATAATTGTGGTTTTATAGTTTAATACTTATGCATGTGTGAAAATATCATTCCTGTCTTCAATTAGTGTGTTTTCTGAAATGTTTGTGGACAAATAGTTGTGATATTGTGGATATATAGCTTTATAATTGTGGTTTTATAGTTTAATACTTATGCATGTCTGAAAATATCATTCCTCTCTTCAATTATTGTGTTTCTGAAATGTTTGTGGACAAATAGTTGTGATATTGTGGATATATAGCTTTATAATTGTGGTTTTATAGTTTAATACTTATGCATGTCTGAAAATATCATTCCTCTCTTCAATTATTGTGTTTCTGAAATGTTTGTGGACAAATAGTTGTGATATTGTGGATATATAGCTTTATACTTGTGGTTTTATAGTTTAATACTTATGCATGTATGAAAATATCATTCCTGTCTTCAATTAGTGTGTTTCTGAAATGTTTGTGGACAAATAGTTGTGATAATATGGATGTATAGTTTAATAATTCTTATTTACAGAAATGGCTCGTGAACCTACACTGGCTGAGGCTTTTAGAGAAACAAAAAGAAGAAGAACAGAGTACCGGACAGCAGCAATTCTAGATTCACAAGCAGCTCAGAGCTCTAATCCAACTAGTGAACAACCAGCAGCAGCCCTAAATTCACAAGCAGCTCAGCGCTCACGCCCTGCTAAGGAAACAACTGTTGCAGAGACTTCAACGAGACGGCGCCGACGAACTAGAGAACACAGGAGAGATTACTTCAATACGAGGATGGGGCCAAAGCTGATGTTTGATCTTGTCCAGAGGCTCTCACCACGACAGAAACAAGCTGTCGTAGAAACTGGATTTGGTGGACTTCTTCATCTCCAACTCTGCACCAATGAATCAAAGTTGGTGCAATACCTGCTGGACAACTTTAATGTTTGCAGGTGTGATTTTGTATTAGAGGATGATAGTCTCCACATTGAAGAGGAAGATGTCGAATACACGTTGGGAATCCCGCGAGGGCCTCTGAAGGTCAATGAGGGGACAAAGATGGAAGACACCTCAACCCGTTAATACAAACTGCTGCTGACTTCATGGAGAAGGAGGTGGGGTATTACAGCAGGCTCGCCAATAACTACACAGATGCCAGATGAGATTGTTAGGAGAGCTGATCATGGTGATGAGTTCAAGAGGGATTTCGTAGTCTTTGCCGTTTCCTCCATGCTTTGAGGAAACACAACACGCTACTCCAAGTACAGGATCTTAAACTCATTGATTGATGTTGATATGATTAAAGAGTACAATTGGTGTGCCTACACATACCAATCTCTCATTGACTCGATAGATAGTTACAATGAAGATAGAAATAGAAGCTTTTGGGGGCCAATGACATTGATATTGGTCAGTTCTTATTGTCTTTAATCTAGTTGCATGAATTTTATGTAGTTGTACGTGTATAACTAACAATTTATTATGGATATATATGCATGAAACTTGGAATATACTCAGTTTAATAAGATCCTTTATGTAGTTTAATTTGTGGATATATAGTTTTAAAATTGTGGATATATAGTTATGTGATTATGGATATATAGTACTCTGTGAATATATGAATGTATTACTCTGTGGACATACTGTTAATAATTCTGGATATATATTAATGTGTTTTTGGATGTATAGTTATGGGTTTATGGATATATATGCATGACACTTGGAATACACTCAGTTTAATGAGGTCCTTTATGCAGTTTAATTTGTGGATATATAATTTTAAAATTGTGGATATATAGTTATGTGATTATGGATGTGTAGTACTCTGTGAATAAATGTATGTATTACTCTGTGGACATACTGCTAATAATTCTGGATATATATTAATGTGTTTTTGGATGTATATTTATGGGTTTATGGACATATATGCATGAAACTTGGAATATACTCATTTTATTAATATCATTTTTTATTTCTGAATTTTGTGGATATATAGTTTTAAAGTTATGGATATATAGTTATGTGATTATGGACATATAGTTATGCATTACACTGTGACCATGCAATTAAGAATACATGGATAAATTGTTCTAAATTCATCTTTAACATAATCTTCTGTAATTTGTAGCTGTTCTACTTTGATCGAGTAGAATTCAAAGGAATGAAGATCAACAGGACATACCCTAGCATACTTGCTTGGACAACCACGCTTGTAAGAAAGAGAGTCAAGGCTGAAAAAAGGGCTGGTGGGTTTGGAAAGGGAAGGGTTATCCCTAGAGTTAAGAAGCCAAGGACTGATGCTACCACCTCACTGCAACAACCTGCAGGCACTGCTGCTGCTACAACCTCACTACCACAACCTGCATTTACTGCTGCTGCTACTACTTCTTCTACTCCTGCTACTGCAACACCGACACCAACTACAAGTGAGCCACTCTCAAGTGTTGATCGGGTGACCCGTGTGCTCCAAAAGCTAGCATCAGATGTCCTGGAGTTTGGTGAAGCTATGTCTGAAATTGGAAAGCAGGGCGCACCTATTGAAGTCATGAAGAAAGCGTTCTCAGGGATATCAAACATGCTAGGTGCTGCAAGCGCAATTGAATCAACTTCCATTCCAACTGAATCTCAGTTGGATGACATATTCTTTGGGAGTGAAACTTTCACCGCTGCAGTGGATTCATTGGTGGAAGCATTTCAGAAGACAACAAGAACCATGGAATTTGAAGCTCCATCATTTGATTTGGGAATACACTGCAATGAATCGCAACCGCAGCCATGTGAGCAACACACAGAGCAAGTAGTTGAAGAGGACCTACCATTGGATGCTTTGGTTCAACAAATTGGAGAGGATGCAGGACTGTCAACGACCTTGGAAGCACAAGTAACTCCTCCACTTGTTAGGGTCCCATTTCAGAGATATGTTCGTCATGCCGCTGCTACTGATGCTGATGTTGATGACTTTGATTGGTAAATTTACAGTTTGTTATTTGCATTTGGCTTTAACGTTATGAATTTATAGTGCTAAAATTATGAATATAAACTTATGAACATTTTTACAACTGTGGACATATAGCTTTAAAATTGTGGATATATAGATATAAAATTATGAACATTTTAAATCTGTGAATATATAGTTCTATGATTATGTACATATATGTTTAATATTATGGATATAAAGTTCTAATGCTGTGGATATATAAACAACAGTGCCATGCAAGAAAGTGAGTCTGATGTTGATGACGTGACTGTTAGGATGAGACCCCAGCGACGATTCAGGAACAAACCTCTTTGTTTGAGGTCACCATACTGGACACAGAATGCAGGTTTTATACGCACTACAACTCCACGGGAAAAAATCATTTCAAACTATGCATTCTTGAGTGTGTCTACCGAACACCCAGAAGAGTATGTTTGAACACATATATTTATAATAACCTTTAAATTACTTAGATAGTTCATATTATTATAACTATTGGTGTTATTATTATTATTGTTATTTTGGTGCTGTAGTGAGTTGCTGTTCAGCTATGGTGACTACTACTTAACAAGGCGTCACTTCTCAACTTTGAGCAATGGTGAGTTGGATATAGACTTCTTGAATGTTTGGTCTTTGCGGCTAACTTTGAAGAACACAGAACGTGCTGTTGGGATACCAAAACGCGTATTCTTCACCACACTGCCACATGTAAGAGTTATTTTTGACATGCAAATGCGCATTTTTAAAAATCTAGTACTCTAAGCCTTTTGAATACTCATTTTTTGCATTTCTGTGTATTCAAAAACAGCTGCAGCTTGATCCATCTGATGATTGGATGAAAAGTCTCCCAGCTGAGAAAAGGATGGAAAATTTCAATGATAGATTGAATTATGAAATATCAAGTTTTGGAAACCTGGAAATCAGTGATGCAGACCTTGTAAGATCTATTACACACACTTAATTTAATAATTTAAGATTTTATTATTGATATATATGCATGAAGCTTGGAATATACAAAGTTTAATAAGATCCTTTATAAAGTTCTGAATTTGTGGATATATAGTCTTAAAATTGTGGATATATAGTTATGTGATTATGGATATGTAGTACTCTGTTAATATATGAATGTATTACTCTGTGAACAGGCTGTTAAGAATTCTGGATATATGGTAATGTAGTTTTTGGATGTATAGTTATTAATTTGTGGATTTATATGCTTGAAGCTTGGAATATACTCGGCTTATTAGGATCTTTATAAATTTCTGAATTTTGTGGATATATAGTTTTATAATTATGGATATATAGTACTCTGTCAAATATGAATGTATACCCATGCAGTTAACAGTACCTGGGTATGTAGTTGTTTCAAATAATAACCTTTTGTTTTGGAATTAGATATTTTTCTCAGTGCATCGCCATGCACACTACTTTGTTGTGTGCATAAATGTCAAGGAATCCAAGGTTCAGGTGATAGACAACAAGGAATTGCCTGCTGGTGTTTCAGAGCTTGATAAATATGGAGACTGTCCATACAAACTGGTAGCTTATATTATATTAAAAAATCTCCTTATTGTCACCTATATATTGAATTTAAAACATTATGAACATTGAGCTAATTTTTTACCAGATTGAAGCATTCAAGGCGTACCTGGAAGCAGGACAATCCACCTTGACTCACAAACTGAACAGCATGCCAGTAGAGTTCCTTGCCATGCACTGGAAAAATGCAGAGAATGTCACCGACTGTGGCATATATGTAATGCGGCATATGGAGAGTTACATGGGTGGAGCTCTCGAGAACTGGGATCCTGGGTTCAAGAAACATATGCGCACGAATGTAAGAGTAACATAAATATATTACATTCCAACTACATCAAAAAGTGATGAAAAAATTACAATGAACTAGTTATTTATTTTTCTTATTTTACAGGCTAGCTTCATTCTTGAGTTGAGGGCAAAGTATGCTGCTTGTATCATCATGTCAAAGCTGAACAGCGTCAAAGGCGAGGTCAAGAAAGCTGCAAAGATTGAAGACAAGAAGAAGTAAAACTGGAAAGATCAATGAATGTTTTTGTGGATGAATATTTTAATATTTTCTGTTCTTATGGTTGTTTTGTAACAACTCTATCACAATTTTTGAAATTCGATCTATGAAATTCACTGAATATATAGTTCTCATATTATGGACATGTAGGTTTAAGATTGTGGATGTATGGATATAAAATTATGAACATCTTACATAAGTATAAACATACCGTTCAAATATTCATATATTCATATTTCAAGAATTATGGACATATAGGTTTAAGATTGTGGACATATTGATATAAAGTTGTGAATATTCGTTCAACTGTGAACTTACATTTTACATAAGTGATCAAGTTCACCAGTTTACATATTGATATATAGCTTCAATATTGTGGATATAATGATATAACATTATGAACACTTTTACTAATTTGACACACAATTCCAATATTTTGTGGTCATATAGTTCTCAGAATTATGGACATATAGGTTTAAGATTGTGGACATATTGATATAAAGTTATGAATATTCGTTCAGCTGTGAACTTACATTTTACATAAGTGTAAACATCAAGTTCACCAGTTTACATATTGATATATAGCTTTAATATTGTGGATATAATGATATAACATTATGAACACTTTTACTAATTTGACACACAATTCCAATATTTTATGGTCATATAGTTCTCAGAATATGTATGTATAGCTCTAATATTATGGATATATAGCTTTAGTATTATGGATATGTAGCTTTAATATTATGGATATATAGCTTCAAACCTGCAAATCAACAAGTACTAAAATTTTGAATACACAGATCAAACAACTTGTAAATTGATATCCTCAAAACAGCTAGCTACCAACTGGTATTAACCCCACTCTCAATCTACAACTGCATTATCATCTACATCATTACTATACTGACAAAACTCCGAACTCCCAGAACTTGGATGTACAAGGTACCCATCCCCGGCAATCTCAGATAGACTTTCCAAAACCAACGACTGAACAGCACCTTTTGTACTCGAAGCAACTTTATTTGCAGCACTCCTCCTCCCCCTTGCAGCACTGTACTTCTTTTCAATAACACTACTCCTCCTTACGTTACGCTCACCTTTTGATCTCCGGTTTGAAGGATTTTGAATGACACCACTTGAAGATGAAACACCGCACTCTTCAATTTGCACATAGCCAATCTCAGCTTCAACCTTTTTCTTTGCTTCCTCAACTGCTTCATCACAGAACTGCCTAGTTACACTGTTATCTTGACTAGATGAAATCAGTCTTTGAAACTTTCTGCAAATCTCCACAACCCAAATTGAAGGAGGGACACCAGCTCTACAAAACATTGAACCAGTATTCACATCCCTACCATCAGCAACCTTTTTAGTCCACCTTTTCATGATATATTTGTTAGGAATACTTGAAACACAGTGTATATGAAGAATGCGTAAACAATGGCAGCATAAAATTCCTAACTCCGAAATCAACTTGCAACTACACGAAATGTCTAAGGTTGACAACTTAAAACTGACTTCATGCCTTATAATATCTATATCTGGACGCCATACGTGATACTTGAACTGACAACCTTCATTCAACACCATTTCTTGATGACAGGCATTGCCTTTCATGAATTGTTCCTCAAACAAAAAATATATCTCAATCGTATATACCTCTCTAGCGTGTAACAGAAGTTTCACGTGCTCCATCATCATGTTGGGTACCCCTTGAGTACAACGAAAGTCTTCACCATTCTCTTTGCTCCTCCATTCAGAAGTTACACTAACAAACGATGAATAAAAATCACATAGACCTACAGTCTTGGACAACCTTCTTGAAATCGAATGGTTAGTAGTTTCACTCCTTTGCGATGATAAAATGCCCCCTGAAAAATAGTCCTTATTGAATGCTGGACACCACTTCTCCCTACAGTCATACAGCTTTTGTATCCAACTATTCTTGTGGCACTTGTAGTCAGTCACCAACCTGAAATGATAAGATATATGTTCAGAACTCTAATGCTATATATCCACAGTTCCAATATAATAAAACCACAAATTGAATGCATATAATACAAACAGAAAGCTCACTGCTTCACTACTACATGTTCAGACAACTAATACTATATATCCATAATTGTAATATTATATATCCACAATTCCAATACTATAAATCCATAAATTGCATGCATATAATTTAGAGACAAACAGGAAGCTCACTGCTTCACTAATACATGTTCAGACAACTAATAATATATGTCCATAATTCTAACACTGTATATTCACAATTCCAAAACTATAAATCCATAAATTAAATGCATGTAACTCAGGAAAAATCAAGAAGTTCCATTCTATACTACAACATGTTCACATAATTCTAATACTATATATTCATAATTCTAATACTATATGACCATAATTCTAATACTAAACATCCATAATTCAATTACTGGAATCGAAAAAGGAAAAAAAAAAGTAGTGGACATACCTTGTCCAATAAAATTCAAACTCAGCTTCAGTCTCTGTGTATTTCAACACACAGTTAAACATATCTAAGAAATCCTTGTTATTCCTTAACGCCTTGATATGCTTCTTCGAATTCTCGCCAATATGCCATATGCAAAGACGGTGACGTGATGTTGGAAACACCTGACAAATAGCAGCAGCCATGGATGCACATTGATCTGTCATGATAGTCTGTGGACATTTCCCATTCATAGACCTTAAAAATGCTCTAAACAGCCACACAAATGATTCTATCCTCTCATTCATCAGAAAACCACATCCAAACATTACATTCATGCAATGGTGGTTCATCCCTACAAAAGGGCCACAAATCATATCATATTTATTAGTGCGATAAGTTGTATCGTGCACTAATAAATCCCCAAACAACACATAGTCTTGTCTCATCCGACCATCCCTCCAAAAAAAACTGCATAGTCTTGAATCACAATCAACTTCAAAATCAAAGAAAAAATCAGACTCAGTCGACTGCCTCTTCCTAAATATTTCAATTAATGAGTTCGAATCGGTTCCATCCAAACGCTTTGATGTATCAGAAGCAATTGAATTATAAGCATCTCGATTAGTGAAGACAACTAATGGAGACCCCCCTGCTTGATGTTTCAAGAACCTAATACCATCTGCCATTGCAACACCACTCTTCTTCAAATCTTTTAAATATAACAGTTGATTATCACCCACATTTCTATGTGAACGCAGAAGATGACTCTTGTCTACAGCACATAACTCGTGATTGTGCACTTTTACATGTTTTGTAACCGTCCACAACCCATCCTCACCGACGTCAAACTGAACACATGCACCACACCCTGACCTTGTGTCAATTTTTGAATATGCCCTAACACCAGCATTTGCCTTAACCTTAAAACCAGCTTTAGAA